ATACATTTTAATGATTCTAATAAGACTTTATTTGTGTGATAGAACTCCTAATGGGAGGTAACTTGTCTCCTGAATGCTCACAAAGTCATCTGTAACCTAGATGACAATGTGTTAGATACAGAAGAGATAAAATATTTCTTTGACATGCATGATTTGTCATATGATCTAGTACCTCAATGTTTTCAGAACTGTTGTCGTTGTTAGGTGCTGTCAAGTCATCTTCGACTTATAGTGACCCTATGCACAGCAGAACCAAACACTGTTCAGTCCTGTGCCAGCCTCACGATCCTTGCTATACCTAAGTCCATCATTGCAGCCACTGTGTCTATCTATCTCATTGAGGGCCTTTCCCTTCTTCATTGACCCTCCACTTTACCAAGCATGTTATCCTTCTCCAGGGAATGGTTCCTTCTGACAGCATGACCAAAGTAGGTGAGACAAAGTCTGGTCATTCTCCTTTCCAAGGGACATTCTGGCTGCACTTATTGCAGGACAAATCTGTTAGTCGTTTTAGCAAACCATGGTACTCTTAGCATTCTTCTCTAACACCACAACTCAAAAGCATGAACTTTTCTTTGGTCTTCCTTATTATTGTTCAGCTCTCACATGGATAAGTTGTAATTGAAAATGTCATGGCTTGGGTTAGGTGCACCTTAGTTTTCAAGGAGAGATCTTTGCTTTTCATCATTAGAAAGTGGTCTTTTGCAGCAGATTTGCCCAAAACAATATGTCATCTGATGTCTTGACTGCTGCTTCCATTGGTGTTGATTGCAGAAGCAAGTAATTTGAAGTCCTTGATAACTTCAATATTTTCTCCATTTATTGTGAAGCTGTTTATTAGACCAGCTTTAAGGATTTTTGGGTTTTTTTTTAGATTGAGATGTAATCCATACTTCTGACTGTAGTCTTTAGTCTTCATCAGTAAATGCTTCAAGTCATGCTCACTTTCAGCAAGCAAAGTTGTGTCATCTGCATATCACAGGTTGTTAATGAGTCTTCCTCCAATCTTTATGCCATACACTTTTTCATATAATTCAGCTTCCCAGATTATTTGCTCAGCATACAAATTGAATAAGTATGGTGAAAGCACACTCCCTTCTTGATTTTGAACTGTACAGTATCCCTTTGTTCTGTTTGAATGACAGCCTCCTGATCTACATATAGGTTCCTCATGAGTACAATCAAGTGTTCTGGAATTCCCATTCTTCTCAATGTTATCCATATTTTTTTATGATCCACACAATCAAGTACTTTTGCATAGTCTTTCAGGTAAGATCCATCTGACATCAGCAATGATATCCCTTGTTCCACATCCTCATCTGAATCCAGCTTGCATTTGTGGAAGGTCTCTGTCAATATACTGCTGCAACCGTTTTTGAATTATCTTCAGTAAGACTTTACTTGAGTGTGATATTAATGATATTGTTTTAAAATTTCTGAATTCTGTGGGATCACCTTTCTTTGCAATGGGTACAAATATGAATCTCTTCCAGTCAGTTGGCTTCAGAACTGCAGTTGACAAACCACTGCCTATGAATGAAATCTAATTTCTAAATAATGTTTCAGTGAAGCACAGTCACACTCATTCATTTCCACATTGTCTATGACTACTCTAATGCTATATTCAAGAATATAGTGAAGTAGCTACAACAGAAACCATGTGACCCACAAGCCAAAATTATTTATTATCTGACTCCTTACAAAAATTTGGTTACTACTGGTCCCTGTTCTGTACCATGTTTTTGTGAGGTAAAGAAAACTAGTAAAACTAAATCTAATGCCCGTGTACGGTGTCATGGTGGGCTTTCCTATCTCCCAACAGTAGCCTCAATGTTCACCAAGAGCCCTTATGGGGAGGTCATTGCATGCAAACTAGTTTATGTGATAGTGCACATTTTTGTAACCAAACACATTCTTAAATTGTGTTCTGTCAATAACTTAGTGTTATACCAATTTTATAGATAGTTTTATAGTGTCTAAAATTCTCCAAAAGTAGACAAAATTGACACAGGCCAGGATTTTGAGGACAAGTCAAATTTTACTTTAATGAATACATTCATGCTGGAGAAAATTAGTTATTGACCCATGTTAGGTGCTTGGAAGGGATATTACTTTAGGAGTTAGGGAAACAATGGTAGGCAGCCTAGACAGATAACACAATTTTAGAACACAGGTAAAACAAACTCAACAGACAGTACAACAGCATGACAGAGGAAACAGATGGGACAGAGCATTCATGCTGATCCAAGAGGAGCTGCTAAATACGTCCCTTCAGATAAAAGTAGGGTTAGTTCCAAAAGCGTGGTCTGGGATTAAAGCAACAGATTCAGAAGAAATGAGTGTATGAGAGACTTATGATTCTCCTGAATTTTTGCTTATGAGAATTTCTTAGTTATTATAAATTATATTTCTTATAGATAGCAAGCTCTGGTAGCTCTAGTTTGCATGCAATGACCTCCCCGTAAGGGCTCTTGGTGAACATTGAGGCTACTGTTGGGAGATAGGAAAGCCCACCATGACACCATACACTGACATTGGATTTAGTCTGTGGGGCTTTATAAATTGCAATTGTAATTTATCTAGGTGCTCTCTAACTTCCAAGACCGAGACATAAACAAAAAACAGATGTACCTAATAGTACAATTAATTCCAACTGGAAATTGATTATACTTGACTAAATTTTACCAGTAGAGGAAAGGTGACCAGTGATTCATGTGACGGTCATTGACATCCCATATCATTAAAACTTTTTAGAGCAGTGGTGTGGGTGAAGATTAAGTGTAAAGGGATATAAGATTACTCTCTTCTGAGATTAAAATTCTCTGTAATTTGATTGGGTTTATGGGTATCAGATTATATATGTTTGTCACTGCTTGCACACTAAACCTGTATGAATTTTATTTTATGTAATTAATGTCTCAATAAAGTTGATTTTTATATGAGCACTTGGAAATTAAACTTTAAAATATAATTGCTTAAAATTTTTAATGTGATTGAGTTGCTAGAAGACACCAAATAAAGCAATCTCACTGAATAGAAAATGAAATGTGAAAAAACATTTGAAAAAATATCAGAAAATGGTTAAATTTCATAGGATGGCAAACTAAATAACAGAAATTCCAGACAGGAAGAACGGAAAAAAATTAAGAAAGATAAAGAAACAAGATTGGCACTGCAAAGATTGAAAGGTTACCAAATAAGAGCCAAAACCAAATTTTAAGCAGGATTATTAATATTAAAATTAATTTTTTGAATTTTCAAATCACCAAGATAAAAAGAAAATTCTTAAATATTAAATAAATAATAAACATGCTACATATGTTGTTGTTATGTGCCGTTGAGTCAGACCTTTTTCAAAGCAACCCCTCCCTGGGTTTCAGAGGTGGTATTACAATGGAAGTGGATTGAGCAACCTTCCTTCCAAGGAGTGGCTGGTGGGTTTGAACCACCAGCCTTCTGGTTAGCAGTCAAGTCCCTTATGCACTACACTACCAGAGCTCCTTGTTATTTACAAGAAGTATAATTTATATTAACTAAGAAATTCTCATAAGCAAAAATGCAAAATAGAAAAAAATGCAGATATTCAAGAATATCAAAATAAATTTATTTTATGTATTTATTTTGTTTATAAATAAATTTATTATGTAACATTCATCTATAGGAAGGTTCAATATCATAAAGAAATCTACGTTCCATAAATTGATTTGGAGATCTAAGGTAACACCAATATAGTGGTGGTAAAATTATATTATATAATGGTGCATAAAGTTTTAGAAAGAACTTGTCAAGCTGATTTAAAATGTATATGTGACATCAAAGTCCAAAAAAAAATAAGAAAATGATGAGGAAAAAATATTAGGGTGAAGGGTGTGAGTAGGCCTCATACTTATAGTTAAAAGCATATTTACTTTTGCCAAAGCCTACAGAACTCATATTGATAGTTTTGTAATTAATAAGCTTGAGAAAAGTAAAAAAAACAGATTCCTGGGGAAAAGTTGACTTTTTTGTATTTTTAAGAAAAGAAATTTGATTATTTCCAATGTGAAAATCAACTCAAAATAACTTAAATACCTAAAGAAGAAAGATGAAATCTAAAAACTTTTAAAAACAAAACATAGTATAATCCCTCTACACCCTTGATGTAGAGAAATGTTCCTTAGATAAGACACACAGAGCATTAACCATGAAAAAAAGAATAACACTGAACGTAGTAAAATAAAAGTGGAACCCACAGAAGAGAAGAAATTGCTCATAATGCTTATAAGTGAAAGAAAATTGATATTCAGAATAGACAATTCCAACAAATACAAAAAAATCTCAAAAGGATAAATCAAGAAAAATTACCAATGGGTTTTTTAAATTAGATAAAATAATTACCAATAAACATGACTATATGCTGAACTCAATAATATAAGAAATGCATATTAAGACTATAGTGCTATACCATTTTACAACCACTAAATTTGTAAATATTAAAATGTAACATCAGATTTTTAAGAGGATGTATACCAGTAAGGAATTGCTGATAAAAATTTATACTGAGGAAGCCATTATGGGAAACAGCTAGGAATCACCTTCTTAGTGGAGCATACACAATGTCCAAAAAATCCATTGCTAACTATGTATCTAGTGAAGCACAGATGTATAGCAGAAATATATATTGTATTACTATCTGAATATATGAGTGACAATTTTAGTTAGAATTTTATAACCATTTTGAGTAAAGTAATTTACTGGTTTAATTAAATATTAAATGTAAATTTCTTTCATCAATATTAATATGTTCAAAATTATTTTACTGTATTCTTGACTAGTATCTGTAAATAGACTCCTTTAGTTTGCTAAATATTTATCAGGAAACTTGTATCTGAACTCATACACATTTGGATAAATAAACTAAATAGCTTCCATTGGCAAAGCAGGAAGATAACACATATATTTTGCAATGATGATTATGCGTCAGTCTGATAAAATCATAAAACTTCTGAGATGTTACTTACTGACACGTATGCATCTGGGAGGAGGGTACCAGTCATTCTCTGTACATTTAATGCTGCTATGTCCATTCGGAAGACTGTGGCCAGGATTGCACTGAACGTTTATGGATTCACCCTCTGAGTAATAATATTTTCTTGAATAAGGAACATATCCACTTTCCACTTCATAGAAATAGCACTTTTCTAAGGACCATTAAAAATAATAAATAATAAATGAAAAACATGAACTATGTCAAAATATTGAAATGTAAGTTATCTCTGCAATATTTCAATTAGATGTGTAAGAGTCTAAAAAATGCATAAATTAAAGGGCAAAAAATCATGATATTTACAATTGCTTGTTAAAAAAGAAAAATCAATATTCAGCACTATTTATCCTAGTTTTTAAATATAATATGTACAAAGGTACCTTAGAGATATTTTTATAAAGTTCCTACATTATTTCTCATTTGAGTTTCATCAATAGCTACTCACAAAAGAACAAATCTATGTTGGTGTTTTTGTCATCACATGATGCAGTCATAATTACTTCTGCATTCTTCTCTCTCCACTCATTGAAAGATTCATACATAAGTAATTTTAAAGAAGTTTACTTACTGATGCATGGAGTTTTTGGTGACCATCCTTCTCTTGTGCATTTTATGTAACCCCCAGAGTGACCCGAAGGAGTCGCAAAACTGTTATGGCAGTAATAGTAGAAAGATTTTCCTATCTCTGCTGGGAAGTATGGTCGATAACCATATTCATTATATAGATATCCGTGTTTTATTGCTGGAAAATCACACTTCACTTGGAATAAAATACAAAACAGTAAAAATAATATTTCATCTTAGTAAACTATCAAATTAGGTTTAAAGTTTTCATTAGTGAAGTATAATCTCTTAATAATTGTATACATTATATAAATTATACATTAGTAAAGTATAATCTCTTAATAATTGTATTTGATCATTGCATTATGAATTCTAGAACAAGACACATTATAGAAGTCAAATCACTGAAGTCCTGGAGAAAATCTTTCCTAATGATGATGAAATTTTCTGGATCATATGATGTATAAATTTATGTCTAGACTATCCAAGAGGAAAACTGCACAGACATATTTAATGTAGTGTCCTTGATGACACGTTTCTCAAGCCTGGTTGATTACGTGAGCATCCAGTTTAAAGGACTAAGGTGCTTAGTTTACCACTCAATTTATGTCTTCCCTCTTCTTTTTTTTCATGCCCATCAGAAATCAGAGCCCTGTCTTCGCATCTCAAATCTATTCAGAATGCAAAGATTTCATTTTCTTTACTTAAAGAGAAAAATTAGACTAAGAATATTTCTTAATATTCAAATAGTTAAGATTATGACAAAGTTTTGATTGCTTAACTCTAAATTTGAGAATGCGTTGTTTTTATAAGGTCTTATAAAATACTTTTTTAAAATGGAGTACAATGCAATTGTATTTACTGAATTATTATTTTATTTAGAGTAATATAGGAGCTCTGGTGGTGCAGTCAGAAGATTGGTGATTCAAACCCACTAGCTACTCCGGGGAAGGAAGATTGGGCAATCTACTTTAGTAAAGATTTACCACCTCAGAAACCCAAAGGGGGTTGCTCATTTAAAGTAATATTGACTTACATAGTTAAGTGCTGTATTATTACTAAAAGTTTAAACCTTTTAATTTTTAGGAACTTTGTAATTTTTATAGATAATTTACTGTTTTTAAGAGCAGACTAGGATTAATTTCTTTCATGAATTATGATATTCTTATCAGAAGAAAGTTTATGTAAAAATGCACACTCACAATGCTCAACTATTCTCAATCATCTTCACCTTTCCTATATTGAGTTCACTGGTTCACTGACCTGGTTACTTTTTCGTTTGGTTAAAGAATTTTCTTAAGTAGTTCCTACAGATGTGTCATATGGATAAAACTTTGAATGTATGCATATCCCAAATGTCTCTCTTTAACCAGAAGTTTGTTAGTGATACCTTCTCTAGCTATAAATCTGGGCTTACAGTCCATTTCTCTTACAATTAATAGATTTTTCCCAACTTTTTTGTAGCTTCCTGTGTTGCATATTAAAATGCTCAATCTATTTCAGAAATATTCATTATATGTTATACCAAACCGAATCAAACCCACTGCCATCTGTTGGATTCCAACTCAAAGTGAACCCACTAGGTTTCCAAGGCTGTATGTATTTAGGGAAATAGATTGCCTTATCTTCCTTCAACAGAGCAACTTCTGGGTTTGAACCACCAAACTTCTGGTTAGCAGCCAAATGCCTTATCCACTGCACCACCAGAGATCTTTATTACATAATATACATAATTCAAAATATACATAATTCTCATTTGGGCACATTTGTATCTGTTTTTTAATCTCTTTTACAAGGTGTTTCCCTGAAGTGAATGCAATATTCCACATAAGGTTGACCAGTATTGACACTGGCAAAACTAAAGGTAGACACCTTTCACTTCTTACTCCTCTGCCAGTGCAGGCTGTGGTCTCATTAGCAGTTCCATTAGTGTTGATTAGATCAGACTGTACCCTTAAACTGATCTTTAAATTGATTAAAATACCAACTCAAGAAAAACTCACTGCTGTCGAGTCAAATCCAACTCATAGCAACCCCTCCTTGGGTTTCTGAGGCGGCATCATTAGGGAAGTAGATTGCCCAGCCTTCCTTGTGAGGAGTGGCTGGTGGGTTTGAACCACCAGACTTGTGGTTAGCAGTCAAATGCCTTAGGCACTACGTCACCAGAGCTCCCATTAAAATATCAACTGATGTAAAAACCAAACCAAACTCATAATGACCCCAGTGTGTTTCCGAGGTTGTAAATCTTTACAGAAATAGATTACCCCATCTTTCATCTGTGGAGCAGCTGATGGGTTTGAACTGCTGACCTTCTGGTTAGCAGTCAAATGTTTTTCCCACTATGCCACCAGAATTCCTACTAAGTGACAGAGCTGTTGCTAATAAGTCTATATAAGTGCAGTTGATACCTTTCACCCAAGCCCAGGATCTTATAGTTATCACTGCTAAAATTCATCTTACTAGATTCAGCCTAGTACATAGGATTCTTTTTGAATAAAGACTCTGTCCTAATTTGGATTTACTATCTTCAGCACTAGTGTCATTTCTAATTGTGAATTTGTACTGCATTTCTGTTAAAGTGTTAGACTATTCAATAACACAGATGAGTAATGAAGCAAATATGCAAACAAAGTCCTGCATTTGATTTTCATGTAATAATATTTAAAGAAATAACAAGCTATTTGATAAACTACTCAATAACTCCATCTTGTCCATAAGAATTCCAGAAAGTCTCTTCCTGAAGTCCTGATAAATTTTGGCCTCAGTTGATCCATGTAGAGTTGGCTGGTCTATCATTTCCTTAATTCAATCATAAAATTATTTAATATTTTACTCTTAATTCTTATGCATATTGAAATCTGTTTCATAGTGACAATAACTTCACTTCTTAGAAACTTACACTTTGGATAATTTGTTTTGGTATGATGTCTGTATTAACATTGAGTTAATTGGCCTATCATTTGTATCATTCTTTTTTCTTTATTCATGGAATATCTAGTGTAAGTTTGGTACACTTTTACAGTGTACTACAAGACAGAGACAAAGGAATGTAATAGAAACATAAAAATTTAGACAAAACCAAAGGCAACATTCCCAGAAATATAATTCTATGTTGAGTGACAATTTGCAATGTGTAATGAATTTTTAAAATTTTACAACTTCTTCAATACTCCTTCTTCCAAGTGATGGAACCGAATTTCCTTCCATTTGAGTGTGGGCTTGATTTAGTAATTCACTTATAAAGAAAAGAGCTGAAGAGACAGTGTTATAAAAGGGAACTGAGACTTCCTCCTTTCTTTCTCAGCTCACTAGCTCTGAAGAAAGTTAGCTGCCATCCAGGCAATTTATGAGGAGGCCCATGTGTCAAGAAACTGATGCCTCCTCCAAAAGCTACTTAAGGGGGACAACTTAACTGGGCAATCTAGTCAAGGGTTGGAAGATTGCAGCCCTGGTAAACATACTGCAATCAAAAGAAGAATGTCTGTCTTAGAACAGTCCAGCTAAGCTACTCTTAGATTTCTGTCTCATAGAAATTGTGAAATAACAAAGATTTGTTGTTTAAAAAATCAATTTGTTTTTTGGGAAATTTTTTTGCACAGCAATAGATAACTAATATAGTAGGTATTAGGGTAGTGTTATTTTTCAATGCTTTAATTCAGATGTTGGGAGAATTATATTATTTAGAGAAATATATATTCCTATACACATGACAGACACACATATATATAATCTTGAGTGGCTAAACAACTAGGAGTATTTAACATACAACAATGTATTTTTGATTATACTTGGAAACACCTACTTTGAAAAGCAAAGAGTCTTACTAAAATGTTCTAATTTAAATATACATACAATAAGAAAAATATTTTTTTTTATCTTGTCTATGTTTTTTAGTAAAAAGTCATTTCAGAATTTAAAAATAGATGACATGAATAGAACTTACTGGAACATCTTGGTGTAGGTACCCAGCCACTGCTAGTACATCGTGACTTATTTCCGCTTACTGCAGGTAAAAAGCCATATTTACACGTGTACTGGATTTCATCTTCATTTCTGTGGGTAATCCTTTGAGGTGTGAAGAAACCATTTGCAATGTAAGGAGGATTACATATGACTTCTGAAAAGAAATGGAAAATACTACATGAAAATTTAAAATTTATATTTTCCAATATAAATTGGAAATGAAGCATGAATAGGAAATATACTTTGACTTATTTGGTGACACGTTTATATACAAATCTTCTAACAGTGTTTAGAATATTTGTGAGTTGTATTTTATTTTATTTTTCTCTTCACCCAAGTTACTATGTGTTTACCATTTAATTAGTGGTTTACTCCCTTCCCCATCTACCCCTCCTAACCATCAAATAACTATTTTTTTTAATGAAATTCTTTTCTTGATTTTTCACAATAGTTCTCATACAATAGTTGTCATTTTGTTACTGACTAACTCTACTCAGCACAAAGACCTCTAAGTTCATCCATGTTATCAGATGTTTGGCAGATTCATCATTGTTGTTTAACATTGCTTAGTATTCCATTAGGAGCTCTGGTAGCATAGTGCCTAAGGCATTTGACTGCTAACCAGAAGGCTGGTGGTTCAAACCTACCAGAAAGTCCTTGGAAGGAAGGTTGGGCAATCTAGTAGTGCTACCACCTTGGAAACCCCAGGAGGGGTCACTTTGAGCTGGGTCTGACTCCACGGCACACAACAACAACAAGAGTATTCCATTGTGTGCATGTACCATTGTTTGTTGATCCATTCCTTCAATGATGGGTATTTAGGTTTTTTCCATATTTTTGCTATTGTGAATAGTGCTGTGATGAATGTGATGAACATGGGTGTGCACAGAGATATATTTTTCTTCCTGTAATTGGGAGTTGCACTGGCCTTACTATAATAGAATAACCTAGTCTGAGGGTTTGGAAACCTTCTGTAAAGCACCAGAAAGGAGTTCTCTGTCACAATTAGTCAGCTCTGCCATTGTAGCACAACAAAAGACAGAGATGGTACTATGTGCAATGACTATGGCTGCATTGCAATTAAACTTTATTTGTTAAAAAGGGGAAGGTATGTTTTAACCAGTGAGCTATAGTTTGCTACCCTTTGACCTAGTCTATCTCAGTTGATAAAGCTCCTTGTCTTGCCTCTCCAAGAATTCTGCCGAAAGTCACATGATGTCTATTTGCTGGCACTTTGTAATTTTGATTAAAAGCCTTCTGTAGAAACTCAGCACTGCTTGAAACACATTTATATGCCCCTAATATACTTCTTTTTTTCCTAAAGGAACTGTCCCAAAGCTCCTTACTTTCCTCAAGCCCCCTAATCCAATTGCTCCTTCATCAACAGATAATAAACCTTTGTGTCCAGATTACAATTGAGGCTATCAATTGTGACAATCATGACTTCCTTTCATTTGTTTCCAAAATTCTCTCAACTTTATTTGTATTTATTTCATACTTAAGCTTCTTGTTCAGTCTTAGATAATGAGGGGTTTCTTTCAAATCCAGCCTAGCTTCTCTTCTTCACGTCTTTCATTATCCCATGCATCTTAAACCATTGTTTATTCCTTTCCTTTTTATCATGCTGGGGAGTTCTGGTAGTGCAGTGCCTAAGACACTTGACTGTTAACCAGAAGGCTGGAGGTTCAAATCCACCAGCCACTCCTGGGAAGGAAGATTGGGCAATCTACTTCTGTAGTGCTACGACCTCAGAAACCCCCAGAGGAGTTGCTATGTAAGTCGGATCCGACTTGATGGCGATGAGTTCTGTTTTGGTTTTTGGTCAGTCTCTCTCTCTCTCTCTCTCTCTGGCAAAATTTATATGCAAGCTTCTCCAATTTTAAACCATTTCTCTCATGGAAAGATGTTCAGTGCCAGAGAGTTAAACTCAATTCTCCACTGTCCAGTGAAAATTAAAAATTATATTTGGAATATTATGTTTTAATCAGAATACTGCATGACCTTGTCCTTTCATAAACAAGAACCTCAAAATAGCATGTTATGATTACTATCTCCTCTTCATCTCATTTATTCTTTTAAACATTCCTATCTGGCTACTAATAATACCTCCTTTGTACTGGCATTGCTCTGACAAAAGTCAAAAATATTCTCCAATTTCCAAATTCAAAAATTCTTTGTATTCTACATATTACATTGGTTGGCATATGATATGGGCTCCTTGGTTATTTGTTGAACTGAACTGATAAATTTCTCCGTAGTGTTCAAGACTGTTGATCACTGATTTTAAAAAATTTTCCAGTGACACAGATTGTTACATTTTCCTGCTTATTCTCCTTCTCAAACATTATTTTTACTTCATTTTATATATTTTATTGATAATTTTCCTCTATTCAATTTACATTTTAATCCCTGTCTATATCATTTTTTGTTATGATGAAAGTAAAAGGCTACATACTGCCTTCAGTACAGGTTACATTTGATCATTAAAAAAAAAAAAAATGAAATCCTTTCAAGTGGACCAATAAACATCATGATAAATGGTGAGGAAATTAAAGTTGTCAAGGATTTTGTTCTACTTGACTCAACAATCAATGCTCATGAAAGCAGCAGTCGAGAAATCAAACAATTTATTGCATTAGGCAAATCCTTGGCAAAAAACTTCTATAAAGTTAAAAAATCAAAAATGTAGCTTCATGACTACGATGTGCCTGTCTCAAACCATGGTATTTTCAATCGCCTCATATGCATGTAAATATGGACAATAAAAAAGGAAGAGTGAAAAAAAAAATTGATGCATTGAAATTGTGGGGATGGCTAGGAATTTTGAATATACCATGAACTGCAGAAGAATGAACAAATCTGCTCTTGAAGAAGTACAACCAGAATGCTTCTTAAAAAAAAAAAAGATGGCAAGAAGTTCTCTCATTTACTTTGTGCACATTATCAGGACGATCAAGTACTGGAAAAGGATATCATGCTTGGTATATTAGAGGGTGAGCAGAAAAGAGAAAGATCCTCAGTAAGATGGATACAGTGGCTGCAACAATGGGCTGAATCATAGCAATCAATGTGAGAATGACACAGACTGGGCAACGTTTCATTCTGTGACACGTGAAGTTACTATAAGTTGAAGCTAACTCAAAGGCATCTAACAACAACAACTATTTTATATACCACTTTTTCAAGACCACAATGGCTTGTCTGTCCTTTGATTGGACAGACTGGATAAAACTGTTGTTTATTTCACTCACTGTGGCAACCTTCATCAAAAGTTAACTTACTCCTTTTCATAGATGTTTACAAATGTCTCAAGAGTAACACCATCATCTTATAGCTCTGTCTTCTTTCTCTTCTTTTTATGGTATGATTTTTTAAAACTCTTCAATTATTTATATGTTCTTGTCTAGGCCATGATAGTTTAAACCAACTTTTTTTAAATGCAGAATGCTTATTAAAACATAATATTCCAAACATAATTTTTAATTTTTGGTGGATAATGGAAAGTTGAGATTAATTCTCTGGCATTGAACAACATCCTTCCATTAAGAAATGTAAGAGAGGAGTTCTGGTAAGATGGCAGAATAGGCAGAAAGACTGCACAGACCCTCTTCAACAAAGAAAAGGGGAACCAATTAACACAGATACAGAAGATAATCCCAGATCCCTGAGCATTGAAGGGAAGGATATAGATGTGAACTAAACTCCAATTAGCAGAAGAATGTGCATGAAAATACCAAAACAGGAAACACACAGAGCTGCAGTCTGACAGGGATCCTAATGGCACAGATACCTTGGATATGGCCGAGTGGTGGTAGGACCTAAGAATTAACCTAAAAATCAGTCCGGCTAGCGAGGAACTGCATGGAGGACTGCTCTGGTAACTGGGGAATAAAAGAGGAAGCAACAAAGAGGAAGGTGGTTTGAGCTGTGGACTTGTGTCTGTCCGGAGGGTGCAGCCATTTTGAATGTTTACAAACGGTTTAATCATATTGGATATTTAAAGTGACAACATTCTCCCAGATTCCAGGGACTTAAAAACAGGCTCCACTTACTGGGAAACCCAAGCACACTCCAGAACCAGACGACTGGAAAGGTGTGACATTCCCCTTGTTATTCTTAAACCCCACACCCTCTTGGAGAATGGAGGTGCAGCCATCCCTCACTCCCACCCACTTTCTGGGCCAGCAGGAATTCCATCCCAGTCTCTGTGCTTGGACAGAGCCTGGGTACCCTTCCGCACCCTGCCCCGAATTTTTCTTTTCTGTTTTCTACTTTCTTTGTTTTCATCTATTTAAAAACTACTGTTATTATTATTATCACTTTTGTCCTTTCTACTATTATTATTTTTCTTCCCCTCACAGGTGCAGTTTTCAGCTTATTTTCTTTTCCCTGTTTCTGGTTGCAATTTTTTTTTTCTTTATCATAGTTTACCCCATTTCTTGTTTTTCTGTCTGCATTTTTCCCATTTTTTTCTTCATTTCTCTTCTTCTCTACCTTATTTTCTCTCATTGTCCTCTCCCCAGATATTGCAGGTATTTTGTTTTTTCTTTTCTTTTTCCCTTCTTTCTTTACTTGTTTACTGTTCCTGAGTGATTACATGGTGTATTTATTGTCCATTTGTTTTTAATTTTTTGATGGTTATTCAATTGCTATTTTTGTCTAACTGAGTGG